TTTCTTGGTGTCCATTGATAAGAAAATTAATTTTGTAATATTCAAACTCCATGGTCCATTAATATTAGAGATTTGGATACATATATCATTGGCTTAATTTTCTGTATATGGCATAAAATTGTGGAGCTTAGTTTGATGTTACTGTGATATATTTTGTGTGATAGGACACTGTATTTTTGGTTATTTTACTTGTTACAGTTCTGAAAAAATTTGTATTGGTTGTTAAAGTGGAATAGTTGCGTGCTGTAAATCTATCCTAGGTGTGTGGGTGCAACCATGTGGGTTGGCGACCTTGTGCTTGGCTTGAGAGTGTGTCTCAAAGCCTGGAGCCTCAAGAATCCACTAAGGTGAGTGGAGGTCTTGTGTGAGAGGAGTTGGTGAACTTCGTAGGTTCGGTTTGAGAGTATTCTTAGAGCTGGGAGCAGTGTAGGCACCAGGAAGATTTTTGATATTTTGATTGATTGTTTGTGTGACGCGTGTTTGTAAAAAGGTACACTTATGATAAATAAAATATCTGCAGCTACTTCAGTCTGGACATAGCACCCTACTTAGGCTTAGTGGGTGTGAACCAGGATATATAGTGTGTCTTTGTCTCTCTGATTTAATTTCTGAATATTCTATTTTTGAGACAAAAAGTAACACCGCTTCTGGTGTGTTATTGTTTCTGATGTAGAATTTTTTTGATATATTTTGAAAGTGTTGTAGCACCTTATTGGTTCTGATATAATTGTTGTAGAACTTAAACTGTTTCCTGGTATTTGGAAATTAATCATTTTCTGTTTTAAGTAAGAAAGGTTGTTGCAGCGTTTGCTCTGTAAAATAAAAGGTTAGGTACATTTTCTATTGATATACATCATATACAAATCATTTTGGGCATATAGGGTATAAGGTAAAATTAGTAAAATTGTTATAGCTGTGTGACTGTTGTCTGAACTGAACTTGCAAAATAATTTGATAACTGTCAATCTTGTTAAGTTGGTGTGGTGATTGAGTTTAATTGTTTAACTTTGTCTAGATTTTACAGATTTAAGGATCTACTAAGAAAAAGTTTAGAACACCTATTCACCCCCCTCTAGGTGTTCCGTAAGCGTCCTGTGTAAGAAGCCACTTGCCTAACAAACACCCTAACATACGGGTAATATGCGCCCTCGTGAAAAAAATCTCTCGATCAAGATTCCCAGCTGCATCACTCCACCGGGCCCACAACTGATCGAAGAATGAGATGCATAGGTTGCCTGTGCCATGAAACTCTCTGGCCAGAGGCCTGACACCAAAAATAGCCTCACAAACGGCAGGCCAATCCTCGGATGTAGATCCGGTAACGACTTACCCGTCAGTAGGCAATCCCAGTATACTAGCCACATCCTGCAAGGTGATACTCATCTCACCCTGTGTCATGTGAAAGTATGTGTCTCTGGTCTCCACCTCTCGACTAGAGCACTAATCAATATGGCATCAATCTGAAATACATTATACAATTATCACACGGTATATCATTGTATTGAATAACTATATAAATTGTTACATCGTCAAGTGCATACCTGAATATGTTGCATGCATGCAACATGTATAAATCCAACCTGTGTGGGGTAATCGACGACCACATCTGGAATAGCGTTGGCATGTGGCTCCCCTGTACCTTACCACGCCGGGTCTTCAACTAACGAGCATGCTCCGTATTCCACACCCGCTGTGAAATATGGGCACTCTGCATCCTCTTTCGAAGGACCTCCCACCTATACGGCCCAGGTATGATATACATACTAGGATCGGTAGGCTCTGGCTCATGATAAGATGCAGAACCCCAGATGATGATGAAATCAGCCATGATAAAAAACTATACAAAGTTGAAAATTTATTGTAACCGTTAATATATAATAAAATTATACATACAAGTGTAATACAACATTGAAAATAATTTACAAAACAACAACTTACAACATGTAACAACAACATTTATTTAAAAATTAATTAAGCAAATTCCTAATTCACTATCAAAATTATTAACCAAAAACCCTAAATCACTAATTCATTCGTAACTACATAATATTATCATGCCTAGGTCTTTAGTTCATTCGTAAGTAATTAATTCGTACAAATTATCACATCATGTTCCTAACAATTTTATAATCAAGTATATTAATTCATTATTAATTAATAATTATACCTAGGTCACTAATTAATTCATAATTAAATAATATTAATTCAAAATTAAATAATAATAATACCTAAGTCACTAATTAATTCGTAATTAAATAATAATAATAATACTTGGGTAACTAATTAATTTGTAATTAAATAATAATAATACCTGGGTCACTAATTAATTCGTAATTAAATAATAATAATACATAGGTTACTAATTAATTCGTAATTAAATAATACTAATACTGAGGTCACTACAACATTCCTAAGTCACTACAACATTCATAACTCGCTACAAAATTCTTAAGTCACTATAACAATTTTCTAAGTCACTAATATACGCTAAACCCTAACATATTCATAATGTAGCACTGTAATTTAAACGTATACATAACATGTATTAAAAACTTATTTTTGTTAGCAGAGCTTCGCAACGCAAATTTTCATCTAAGGTAGAGAGCACAATCGTCTTAGAGAGAGGTTAGAGTGAGAGTGTGAAATGGTAAAAAAGAAAAAATGAGGGTTTATTAGGTTGCATGGGTCACACCCCCTTTTGGGCGTCACATGTCACGCCTGATTTGGGCGTGACCCACCAGGCAGTGAGTGACATCCTCTTTGGGCGTGACATGTGACGCCCAAAAGGGGCGTGACATTATACAATAGATGCGTAAATATTTTCAAAACAGCCATAAATTTATAATTTTTTATTTAAAATGCAATAAATTAATTTTTTTTGCCTAAACACAATGACACAACTAAAATTTATTATAATTTTTAGGAGCATCAAAAGCAACCTTATTTCATTTGTTATGTTTCTAAGGAGACTGAAATTCTCGGACAATGTAAGAATTCATCATTACTAAGTACGACTCGTTTACACAATACCAAAAAGAATAGGGTTATATTGATAAATTTTTTTTTACATATTTGACCGGTAAGACTCTACTCAAGAGTGTCTTAATGGGAAGACATAGTATAATTAGTGTAGTTTGTAAACAAAAAATTTGTAAATATAACCTTCCCGTACCAAAAATTCATATTGTGGTTTAGGATATAAATAGATTATATGGCCTTATTACTCCTAATATATTTATTAAAATACAAAATATTTGACTTTAAAGAAGCTTATTTATAAAATAGGACATGGACATACTTTTACTCCTATAAATTTATATACCAACCTATATTATATTATTTATTTTAAATAAAATAAATATTTAAATAATAAAATAATATTATTTTAATTATTATTTTTCTAATTTTTGTAGGTTTTAAAAGCCTGGTAAGCTTAGGTCATTCATTTTAAATTTTAAATATAAATCAAATCAAATCTATATTAGATTAATAGTTGAGGTTAAGCTTAAAATATTTTATATAAATTTAACATATTTAAGCTAAAACCTAGTTTAACTCAACCTATTCACATCTTTATTCTGGTTGACCTATTTTTAAATTTATATTGGTAAAAACTAATACAAAATAATTCGTGTTATATTACATATCTACCCTTAAACACGATATTAATTGTGTCAATACTCAATCATAACCACTAACTCAGATTAATCTTTTTCCACATTATTCATGTGATGTCAATAGGACATTAATAAAAATAACATGTAGTATCATATCAAACCTGATAATAAAGTAGAGACTTTAACCTCTAGGGGGCGTTTGGTACGCGGTATTTGGCCGGATTCCCGGGAAACTGAATTTTTCTAAATTTTAAATTTTCGAATATTATCGTAAACTGAATGTAAAAATCATATTTTTGAAAATTGAGATTCCCGGACAAATAAAAATTTCTCTTGTACCAAACGCCCTCCTAAGGTGTATCAAACCGGCAAAATTTAGCGCCTCGCATTATTTGGTCCAAGCAATTTTAAAATCTTTTGGGAGTTAGAGAGAAAAGGTTCACTCTCAATGGATTAATTTCATGCTTCTTCTTATGACGTAGCCTAATGTATGTGTCTTCTTCTGTTGACATAGCCCAACATATGTATTGTTCTAACGAAGAGGTAACATTTGGCTTTCTTAGTCCTAGAATAAGGTAATTGAAGGAAGGAAGAAGGAAGTTGAATGTAAATACCTTTAAGTTTCTAAAAAAATAAGATAAAATAAATTTTTTGAGACGGAGTGATTATTTGAGTTAAAGGGTGTTTGATAGGAGGTGAAAAAAAGTTTTTGAGAAAATGGAGCGACAAAAATTATTTGCTTATGTTTGATAGATAGAAGGTGAAGTAAAAATTTGGCTGAATTTTTTTTTTTCTCAACATTTGTTTTTGTATGTAAAATATAGTTGGAGAAGATTATTATTGAAGAGATGGAATTATTTTTTTCTCATGTGGTAGAAAAATTAACAAACAACATCAATAAAATTAACTCAGTATTTTCAAAAAAAAAAATTAACCTACCAAACACATTTTAGTAACTTATGCAGGAAAAAAAATTAAAAAAAGAAGAAACAAAAATCAAGGCTCTGTTTGATTTTTATTGTGGAAAACAATTTTTTAGTTTTTGGAAAAAAAAAACTAAAAAACTCGTTTGGCAACACCTGTTTTGTAAAAAATGTTTTGAAAACTATAACTGGTTTTTTTGTTTTTAAAATCAAATTTAGAGAACATGTCAGTTGTTTTTGTTTTCTGATTTTATTTTTAACTTTTAAAAAGAAAAAAATATAGAAACAGAACCTTGATATTTGTGTTATCTAGAAGGTTTAGACCTGAATTCAAGATTATACAGGTGTCGACCAAACATAAGCACATCCCCCTTCCAAGACAGGCCACGTCATCATATATGTAGACGTTGCTTTGCTTCTTTCTATGATATCACATCATCATCTTGTTCTCAATTCCCTTTTCCAGATTTGTAACAAAACAAAGCATATTACTGCAACAACATTGTGTTCCTAGTCCCAAAGGAATTGGATCCATCAAGATTCATAATTTTGAAGTGTGATGACGACAAGTACCCAAGCCTACGGTGAATCATGGTACTGGGACAACCGCTACTCCAATGAACCTGGTCCCTTTGATTGGTACCAAAAGTACCTCACTTTGTCTCCCATCATCAACCTCTACGTACCTCGTAACAACCCCATCCTCGTTATTGGTTGTGGCAACTCAGGCATGTTTTCCCCCCTTCCAAACCCATCTTTTCCTTTTCTCTCTTCAGATCTCTATATATCATTTTAAGGGTACCCATTTTGTTTGATTGAATAAAAATATGATCTTTTTTTTTCCCTTCTATCTATGAATTTCAAGATAAAGAAAACGAGATTTGTGTTGTTTTGCAGCCTTCAGCGAAGGCATGGTTGATGATGGTTACACAGATGTTGTCAACATTGATATATCTTCGGTGGTGATTGAAGCTATGCTCAACAAATACCGAGATTGTCCTCACTTGAAATGTATCCTTCATGCTTTATCATTATTTTTTCCTTTTGAGATTGCTACCTTTGTAATCGCATTATGTATGCATTATTAGTTTCCTATTTTTCGTGTTATGGAACCATAAAAGTAATGAATTTTTAACTAAGTGTTGCTAATGGAATTTTTGAGGGAGAACTATCCTTAATAAATAGGCAGATGTGAAAATGGATGTCAGAGACATGAGTGCTTTTGAATCAGGGTCTTTTGGTGCTGTTGTTGACAAAGGTGTGCTTACCTTTCATAGATTGCTTTTTTTCTCTTTTATTTAAGTTAGGGTACCTATTGGACAATGAATTATGCTGATACTGTTTGATTATGTTTTTCAGGGACTCTTGATTCTATCTTGGTGAGTCATGATGCTTGTTGAAATACTTGTATGTTTGACTAGAGACTTGTAGTTTGCTCATTGCATATTATTGTTTGTAGTGTGGAAGTAATTCAAGAGAAAATGCTACAAAGATGCTGGGGGAAGTTTGGAGGTATAATAAAACCATGGACAAAAGTCTATAATTCCTTGTAGCTTCTGTTCTATTTTGGATTTTTTTTATTCTTGATCTGTTCACCATTATTGAAGCAGTTGATGACACACTATAGGGTCCTCAAGGATAAAGGAGTTTATATTCTGGTAATTGCACCTCTTTCTTTTAGTATCAATATGCATTCAGATTTACTCTCCAATAGATCAAATGTGTCTTTGCGTTTCACCTTATCAGGATTGGCTGCTTGTAAAAATTGCAGGTAACATATGGAGCTCCACTATATCGCCTACGTTTGCTAAAGGAATCTTGCTCATGGACAATAAAACTCCATGTGATAGGTTGGCTTAAATCCTAATGTCAATATCATTTTGTATTCCAAGTTCTCTGAACCTATACAAAGTTTGCTGTTCTCTATGTCTCAGATGCGTGTCTCCGGGCCTCTACTCTTGTTTTGCCTGATTTCCATTTTTATCATATACTTCTGTAATTCAGAAAGTCCCAAATGACATATAAGTTGGAATAAACCTGAGATCCACATGAGCAATACTTGCAAGCTAAAATGCATTATTGTTGTGGGGATTGGGGATCCACATGGAATAATCCTTGCTGCTTAAATGCATGAGGCATCACCATTTGGCTTTTGATGTGTGTTGGGAGAAGAGTAAGAGACAGAGGAGATATTTTTCTCTAAGGCTGAAGATTGTTCATTTCTCATTAGACAATTAGTTCAAGTTACAAAATTTGTAACTTTACAAGAAATACATAAAGACTTTTAAACACCACCATAAACACATATAACTCTTGAGAAACTTAAAAGACACAAAACTTAACATTTAAACTAAAATACTAAAACAACCTTAGCACTTAAACTAAATTAAATTGACACATTATGGTAACATTCTCCCCTTTAATGTGCAATTTCTCCACACCAAGCTGCATCCTTAGCAATTGAAATTTCTCCTTTGGCAATGCCTTGGTGAAAATGTCTGCCACTTGCTCTTCTGATCTACAGAACTTCAAAACAACTTCATTGTTCTCAACAGCTTCTCTATTTAAATGATACTTGATGGCAAAACAACTTCATTGTTCTCAACAGCTTCTCCAATTAAATGATACTTGATGGCTATATGTTTAGCTCTGCTATGTTGGACTGGATTTTTGGCCAATGCAATTGCTGATTTGTTGTCACAGTAAATCTCAGTTGCTTCATCTTACTTTTCTAACACATCCTCCAATATTCTTCTCAACTGAATTGCCTGAGAAGTTGTCATTGCAGCAGAAATATATTTTGCTTCAGCAGATGATTGTGCAACAGATTGTTGCTTCTTTGAACTCCATGAAAAAACTTCTGAACCAAGCATAAAAACATACCCAGAAGTACTTTTTCTATCATCTTCACAGCCTACCCAATCACTATCACAAAATCCTTGCAACTTCAAATTGACACCTTTGCAATATCTAATCCTATTATCCTTAGTGCCTTGCACATACCTTAGCACTCTCTTGGCAGCTCCATAATGAAAATGGCTTGGACTATGCATAAAAAGTGATAACAAACTAACTGCAAACATAATATCTGGCCTAGTTGCTGTTAGATATAACAAGTTACCAACTAAGCTCCTATACATCTTCTCATCAACACTCCTTCCACCATCATTCTTCAATTTTTCATTCAACATTATTGGAGTATCAATTTTTTGCAACCATTCATTCTAAATTTTGTTAAAAATTTTCCTGCATAATTTCCTTGACATATAAACATCTCATTTTCACATTGATGAGAATCTCCTTGAAATTCTTCTTGCAGAATTTCCCACGCCTGTTTTTCCTTTGTTGCCCTCATAATTCTTGGGAAGATCATGTTTGAAACTCCTCTCTAAATCATAGCCAAAATAGCGGCATCAATATGTTTCTTCTCCTGCGCTTCCTTCCTCTGAGCTGCGGTCAAAGTCGCTGGCGATTCAGGCTCTTCACTCCCATTTTCGACTAGATCCCACACATCTAGTGACTCGAACTAAGTCTTCATTTTGACACACCAAAAATTGTAATTTGACCCTGTAAAAACAAGGACTTGAACAGCACTCAGGTTAATGATTGTTGAATTCGCCATATCTTCTTCAAATCTTGCAGGTCCCGACTAGATCTTCGGTCTCTGATACCAATTTTGTTGGGAGAAGAGTAAAAGACAGGAGATATTTTTCTCTAAGGCTGAAGATTGTTCATTTCTCATTAGACAATTAGTTCAAGTTACAAAATTTGTAACTTTACAAGAAATACATAAAAACTCTTAAACACACCATAAACACATATAACTCTTGAGAAACTTAAAAAGACACAAAACTTAACATTTAAACTAAAATACTAAAACAACCTTATCATTTAAACTAAATTAAATTGACACATTATTGTAATAAATGTTTTTTATTTTTTACTTTTCCCCCTTAAAGAATCCTATTATGTATTTCCTTAATAAGTTGATAATTTGCTACTCTTTTTTCAGTATATATGTATTTTTTAACCTTATGCATTCAAAGTCAATAACCACTGCCATGGTATATGCAGATAAACTTGCATCTGAAGACCAATTTGATCATCCAGTTTGGGAGCTGACAAATCCTGTTCCACTTAATGATGATGGAAGCTCTGTGGAGGAAGCCCTAGGACGGAATCCTGATGTCCATTATATATATATTTGCACTAAGGTAATTAAATGATTCGTGGTACCTTCTCCTTTTAGTCCTTGGTCAATAGCACATGTCATTTACCACTTCTCTGAAGAATTAATCTTCATGGTTTGGAATTCATACTTCTGATTGAAGTTGAGTGTAACTTTATATATCCTTTGCCAATTTCGAGTAATCATTTTTATCATAATCCTTCTGCCAGGAAATTTAAGTTAACTCAAACGTAAACGCATGAATGAGCAGTTTAGCAAGGAAGGCACGCATCTTCACTCCACAAATTTGTATTACAACTCTTTTACTCTTGTTGATCCTAGAATTTGTAGTGTTAAATCCGAAGTTAACAATCTTTTCTTTTAATTTGATTGATTCCGTGAGTTATCCATTAACACAGCCATTGATAATGCAGTGTTAATATGTAATTTTATTCTAAATTCTCAAGATTTTTCTAGAATTAACAGCTAAATTTTGTTGTTATGGTTCTCTTTGCGTTTTAAGCTTTCCAAGACAGCTTTTTTTATGCAGCACCCCAAATATCAAGCTATTAGATGCAAATTTAGTAATAATTTCTATTTTGCTCACTAGCTTCTACATAAAAAAGAACCAGTGTTAACTTATAGAGTGCAAGCCTGTACGACTAAAGAATTTTTAGGGTAAATTCATTCTTGACAGTCACAGAACATCAAATCTTGGTAATGAGATTTTTAGACACAAACCGTAAATGTTTGCCATCTTGTATAGTAAAACAAGTTTAAATAGAGCCAATTATAACTAAATACAAATAAACTGTATTAAGTATTTTACATGTATTTGAGTACGAGTGATATCATATCTTTTTTTGGTACCAAACCCAAATTGTTAGCACTTCATACCCATCTTATCCAAGGATTTTTCCTCTTGAGTCAAGTTGCAAAGAGTTTTTAATTCAACTCAAAAGTTTAAGTTGTTAAGTGAAGGTTTATCAATGGTTTATATATTTCTCCCTCATACGAGAGTTCACTGGACTTGAAGGGTAGATAATGCACAGGTCCAATTATCTGTGTTAAGAAATTTCATAAAATTTAATTAATTATTAATTAAATTGGGAGAGGGGGGGGGGGGGGGAGTGAGATCGAACTCGTGATATCGAGGCTCTGATATTATATAAAGAATCAATTTAACCTAAAAGCTTAAGCTATTAAGTGAAGGTTCATAAATGATTTATATATTTCTCTAACACATCCCTTCACACAAAAACCTACTGAATATGAAGGGTGGATAATATACAGGTTCACCTATTAAGTGAATGGTTTATATATTTTTTTAACATTACCACTACTTTTTTTTATCTCTGCCTATCTATATAGTGAAGTCGACTGCGAGAGGTAATGTAAATAAAAAGGTTTAAACTATTTTGGTGTGGCTATCATTAAAAATACATTTTTGGCCTTTGTTAACCTCTCAAACTTTTCACATAAATCTTGTCATCTATTATTGGATTTTATCATAATTTCTTTTAGAGTTTCTGAAAGTTATATATGCGATTTCGGATATAATTATAGAACCTCCCCATATTGCATTCAAACCGGAATTAGGAAAAAAGAAATAAATCAGAAACTGAATCAGTTAGCTCTTATATATCAGGTACTGGTTTGGATGTCAAAATTAAGGTCAGTTAACATTCCACTGCATTGAGAAAAGGTATAAACGTAGCCTTTTTTTTTTCTTCCTGTGAATCTTAAATATGAAGAGCTAACTCGGTTAGTATTATGGTTACTTTGGTCATATGAAGGGAAGACGCACCGCAATCAGTAGCGTACCAAAATTTTTTTATGACTGGGTGCAAAAATAAAAATATTATATTATAAATAAAAATATTTATAATGCAAGACAGACCTAATATAAATTTTTTTGAGAACAATTTATTATAGAAAGCAAAAATGACGTCGCTTCTTATTTGACCTATACAAATGATAATTATGAAGTTTGCACTACAAAGGAATAGGAATGTGTAGCTTTTAACTAAAATGACTAACGCTCAATTCTATTAGCGTTCAAATTTTGTGGATTCTGTACGTGAAAGGTTTTGTATGGCGGATCTCAAGCCATGATAAGACATCCATTACCCTATAACTATTTGATTACCTTGTGGGTTAGTCACATCAGAATTATTCGGTAAAATATTATATATTCCATTAATATCCATTTGATACAAAAAGAATTCTTTAGTTCTATCGTCTTGATTCAAGATCATTCTTATAATTTATTTAAATAAATTCATCAAATCTACAAAATCAAGGATAACAGATAAACTAAAAGAATAGAAAAAATTCATAAGAAAATATTTGAATAGAGTAACAGACACTTTCACACCTTTTAAAGAAACAACTTTAATATACAGCTTTACATATGAAATAAATAAAAAGAATAAAATTAAGATAATGAAGTTTTACACCCAATATTACCTTTCTTCTCATTTCTTTTCCTCTTTCTCCTTCTTTTTAATTTTCTTTTCTCCCGGGCTTTTCACTATTAAGCGTTTTCTCTCTCTATTTCTTTCTTTCTGTTCTCTTATTGTTTTCCTTTCTTTCCTCTCTGTTTCCATTCTTTCTTTTCTTTTCTCTTCTTTGTTCACGCACTTTCTCTTTCTCTCTTTTCTGTCACTCTTTTCTCTCTTCCCTTTTTTTTTTCTCTTTTTGCGTCAGGGCTATATATATAGTTAAAATCTAACTAGATGTAACCATTGCATATAGTTAAGTTTCAACCAAACTAAATAAAAATCTAACTAGAATTTAACTAAATACTAACTCAGTAATCATTATCTTGATAAAAAAATCTTACTCACTTTTATCTTTTTGCCTTGCAAGGGTGTCTCCATGTGGCCTTGCTATTTTTTTTATACGCATAGCGCTACTGGTGTGCTTCTCTTCTAACATTCTGGCGCATTTTGCACCTGATTAAAATTGCTTGGCGCTATAGGCACCACTTCAAGACACACAACGACGTTTTTTGCGCCAAGCTCAATTCATAAATACATTTGCGCGCTTTAAGTGCCAAGATATGAGACAACAATAGTGTGGCCTCTACTTCCTAACAAAAAATAATTAAATAAATAAAGAAAAACAAATAAAAAAATAAGTCACACATATAAACACATGTCTAACAAACAAAAACAAAATATGTAGATGCATACAACACCCATAAGTCAAATAATATATAGTATCAACTCAACTGCGAAAGCCTTGATAATCGATTATGAGCTATTAACGATTTGGAATGGATAAGGAATTAAGAAGGGCCAAAAGAGTAGCAAAATTTGGTGGAGGAGAGAAGAGCAGAGGCGACAATTCGGCAAATGAATTTGTTTTCAGGTGGAATTAAGAAAAACACAAGACAGACCAAAAAAATGGACTTGTGAAGCACAAGGCAGACCAATAATGGACTTGTGCCATATTCACGCTTCAAGCCCAAAGGACTCTTACGTGAGGGGGTGTGTTAGAGAGATATAAAATAATTAATGTAGCCTCATCCAACACCTTAAGATTTTGGGTTGAAGTGACGTTTAACAGAATTATGGCTAAGAAAAAATGTGTTTGACAAGTGAGAAGAGGGAACATTATTAAAAATTAAAAAATTTAAAAAAATCATAAGATAATATTTTATTAAAAGTTAACAAGATATTATTTTATTAAAAATAAAATAAAATATTATTTATTCGAAAATACGAATTGGGCTTGGAGGTTTAAAGGTCATGCTTGCTAAAATAGACTTGTGACCCATTTACATCTAGACTTGTCAAGAAGGGCTAAAGCCTAGGGCCAGCCCATATAGCCCCATACAAAGCCCTATTCATTTTTATCCCTCCATTTAATAGGGCCAATTTAACCTTGAGCCCTTAAAGCCCTCTGATTTGGGGCTGGCCCGAGGGCCAAAATTATTCCACTCAGTTTACATTTTCTCTCCTGTGCACTTCTGACGTTTTCCGTGACACCCATTATTTTCTTTAGAAAATTCAAAATCTTCATCCCCTTCTCAAAACTCTAGTATCGTTTGGGTTTATTAGAGTAAATTGCACGTAGATAAGGAGGAATCTTATCGTAACAGGATAAGATCTCATAACAATCTTAGAATAACTAGGATCAAGGCCCAACCAGGTAACGATTATAAATAGGATTGAAGCCATCAGGTACACACTTTTTACCAATTCTACATTAGTTATTACTGTGCACACACCCCACTCTTTGGCTCTGCCATTTTCCATTAGTGCACAATGATATGTTATCCCTTGCAGTATTTCTCTCAGATACTTGAAGTATGCAAATCCTATATTGACTTACCACCCTTCGGGTGGACATACCTGATTCGCTAGGAATCCCCATACAGAAGTAAGGGGATAGAATTTTCTTTTAGGGGTTTTTAGTTTTTGATTTGAGGAGGTTAATTTTTAAGATAAATAATCCAGTAATATTATCAAAATGATATTTTGTATATATTTTTTTTTTTTCAAATTTCAGGGAAGGACGAGGGCCAACCCCAGTCCCCTAGATCCAAAGGAAAGAAAGAAAGAAAGACACTGCATTAAATAACCACAAGATAAAAAGTTGGGAAATCTTTTAAAATGGGATTTATTGATCATAGGTTCTAATAAGGAACACAAACGGTAATCCAAAGGTCCATGCTTTGTGTTGTAGTCATAGTGGGGCTTCTTAAAGAAGTTTATGTGATGATGTTGTTAAGAATATGGAAGCTTTATCTGTATTAGTTCAAATATAGATAGCAAAAGAAAATTATAAAAATCTGAGTTTAAATAATTTAAAGACTTAAACATAATATAATTTAAATTAAAGATTTGAACATAAGACATACATGGAGTTTGCCTTAGCAGCAGGTCCTTGGATCATTTTTTATTATTATTTGGCTATTAGGGCTTGGGAGCCAGATTTTGAACCATTCCAAACTTCTATAAGCAAGGTAACTGCATAGGAGAGATTGCCTAGTTTTCCTTTGGAATATGTCAACACACCTCTGATGAAGAGTGTGGGGAATTGGCTAGGCAAGTTTGTGAGATTGGATGCTGCCACTACAACGTTGGCTAGAGGTAGATTCGCAAAAAATTGTGTTGAACTGGATCTTGAACAACCTCTCAAGGCTGAGTATTTCATAGAGGGTAGATATAAACAAGTGGAGTATGAGGGGCTGCACCTCATCTGCTTTGGTTGCGGTAAATATGGTCATAGAGCAGAAAATTGCCCAAAGCCTATCCAAAGGGTTGCTCATGAGTCTGAAGCTGTGGGGAATGTGGATGAGAATTTAGAAGATGTTGTGCAGGACAAACATTTAACTGGAGTGGAGGGTGTGTCAGGTTATGGTCAATGGACGGTAGTTACAAGGGGGAGGAGAGGAAAGTTATAATCTGGTAAGGAAGATGCAAAGTCAATATTTGAAGCCAAATTATCTCAAAATAATTCCTCCAAAGTT